TTCATTCAACACTCAATCACTATTTCTAGACCAAGCATACATGCTCAACAAACTATATTATTGCATAACATGAATCCACAAATCCCAACCCTCACCTTGGCCACAAAGCATCTGAATTCTCTGGAACTGCATTCTTGAAGTAGCGGTTATAACTAGCGTCTCAAATCTCGGATTTCAATTCTAAAACCAGTTCCAGAAACTAGAAAAACAGAGCTTTCCAGAGATATAATCATCCAAATCCATCTTATCTGGTCGGAAGACGGTTGCAAAGAAGACTGTCCGCAGCTTCACTCTACACGTAACAGTCCCAAAGAAACACGAGTAACTTTTAAACCATAATTCCGATTGACAAACCGTTTTCATATATAGCTAGATATACGAGTAAAAAATCTCCTTACCAAAAATTAGCTTCATCCGATCTTCTACGAAATCGCAGCACTAATTCTCCTTTGACTGGTCAGAAATTCTCAACAGCAAATACAATTATGAGATAACATCCATAACTTTCATATCACAACTTCAAATGACAATCCACTTTCTGATTTGGGTAAATAAGAGAGTCTGGAAGATCCTTACCGAGATTCAAATCGATCCGAATAGTTTTGGTCCTCCGTATCCATTCTCCATCGAAACTTGTCAAATTTACGGTTGTTTGAGAATATGACATATTTCGACAGACGGAAAGAACACGCCATAACTTTCACCACAGAACTTGGATCAAGACGATATTGAACTTTCTGGAAAGCTGAGACTCGGGGCTTTCCATGGATAGGTAGATCGTTGCACAGTTCCATACTGTTTGCCGGTAAATCGTCTATCAAAGCTGCGGCGGCTAGGGTTTCTCAAGGTGAAAAACAATACGGCCAGGGCTTCGGCGCAACAACACTCTTGATCTTAAAAGCTTACACTTTCTCCCTTTATATAGATATGACTAGGTAATCTGATGGGTTAAATGGGCTTATGGGTCCATTCATCAGGCTATTCCTAGTCCTCTCTCTTTGGTCCAATCAAATCATTTCTACATAATTCAACACTAACTCGATTATACTTCCTTCAATAATAAGCTAGGGTTTTAATAGAATTTTTGGGATAGGGGTATTACATATATAGACGACATTATTCGTGAATCTTGAAGCTAATTAATTAACCAATTCGACGGTTACAATTGAAAACCGAAGGCGAAAACGTTTCTAGATAGTGAAAGTAATATATAGAAAAATTATGCCAAGAGCTTTAAGTTAAAGTTGGTACTACACAGATACAAATACTTTTCAAGTTGGAATTTTGAAACCAACCCAAATGCAGATACATGAATAAAATCGAGGAAAGATCTTAAACAAAGGGAGAAATTGGTACCTTCGGGACAAAATGCCCGCAAAGAGGCGAGAAAACTATGAGAGTGAGAGAAAAAGCAGCGAAAAAAAAAGGAGAAGAACAGGAACAAAAATTCATCTTCTTCAGTGTTCTTATTCTTAATTTGGGGGTTGTGGGATCTTCAGATTCCCTTTTTTAAAAGATTGATCACAACTTCTAAAAACCTGAATACAACATTCAATCTTATGAATTCCGGATTCTAAGGATTCCTAACGAAATTAGAAGAATAAATGATTAAAAAGATTTCCAACTCAGAAACTTCAGGTTGTAAATTAAAAAAAAGGACACATACGACTACTGTTTA